AAATGACATTTTTAGGACTGCAAAGGGAGGTGACTTTTTCAAAGAATATTTCTAAAAATAGCCTGGAAACCTATTCTCAAATTTTGATATTTTGTTAGGTACACCCCAATGAACAATATATGGGAAATTTAAGAAAGTTCATTGGCTAGATTTGTTTTGCCTACAGTGTCCTTCTCTACCTTAAAACAGTCATTCCATAAAAATCTGTACAAAAGCCGTAAAAATACGTCTCTAGATGTATTTAAAGTAAATTTAGTGTTTTCCTTTATCATACTGATAATTTTCTCACGGTAAATGTTCATTTTCACCAAAAGCTTGCAAAAAAAATCGTAACGAATCTTGTAAATCGTAGATTCTGAAACTTATAGATGCTGTGAAATGTTATTTTCGTGTAAAATATGGTTGTCGCTTTTTCTTATTTTTTCTACGCTATGATGATTCTTTTGATATAATAGCAAACAACATCCAAAATAGTTACTAGTAGTAAGATTAAGCATTGTATTAACGAAATAAAATACGCTGGGAGTTGTCCGTGGTCATCATATGTTTCAAATTTCGTAGTTTTGGATGTCTCCAATAAAGCTTTAATGTCCGTAACAAAAACTAGTGACTCTAGACAAACACATGATCAGTCTTTTAATTTTTCATTTAGATGTTTAAAGTTTTACTTTTGAATATACAGCAATATAGCATAACACTTTGTCGCATTTTGCCTTTCCGTATTTTGTAATTGGATCTTGACAACATAATTTCAATGTGTCCTATATAAGGCTTTAATGTCAGTAACGACGATTGTAATGATTTAAATTACATTTGAGACCTGAATCTTTTTTGGTTTTAATAAACACACTATTATTACATAAAATATGCTGCTGTGATGAAAAATAATTGCATTTTTTTACACAATATGATCTGGAATAGTAATGACATTAATGTACATAACACGTTAATATCCGTAACGGAAATAAAAACTAAAGGATAGAACTAATCCGGGCGTTATTTTCGGGACCATTTTTATGTTACACCGCCGGAAGTTGGTTTGTCGTCGTAAAATATTTCAAATTGATGATGGAAATGATCATAAATGCTGAATAACGTCTTTATATAAGGTAAGCAGTAGTTATTTTCTTATTTAAAAAATTATTTTTTCAACAATCAAGATGAAATAGTATTCGATAATATGGCAGAACCTTGAAAATAGCATTTTGATCAGGGTTTGTACATTGGACGGTGTATGACAAAACAACGTCCTTGATTATAGACATTATATGTGTCCGTTACGGACATTAAGCAATGTTTCTAAAATTGCATAAAATGATAAAACTGATAAAGAAAGATGCATAGCAAGTTTGATTTTTAAAAGTTATCTTGTAAAACGTAGGTTTTAGGTCATTTTTGACATACTATACGGATATAATAAAGGTAGACATACAACGAAATTGTTCTGAACAAAAAAAAATAAGGATAATGTAAGAGCACTTTTGAAATGTCATTTTAATTCATACTTCATAATTCTCTTTGGTCAACTATATGTCAAGACATGTGTCCTTTTGTCCGTCCGTCCGTCTCTCCAAGTTTTTTTTCCCAAACTTGTGTCAGCTTGTGGTCATTTATGAGACCCGTTACGGACATTAAGCGAATTTGATAAATGTCCGTAACAAGACTTATTTTCCAACTCCTTGTGAATAAATGTGCATGAAAGTAATGAATTAGGATCATTACTTTCCTTCAAACTTACCTTGAATGTATTCATCTCTTTTTCCGTCTATAAGCCCGTATCACCACTGTGTTGGTGAAATGATAAGCTTTTACCCCTCGCTATCGCCGGGTAAATATTCATGATATAAAGGGTCTAACGGTGGTAAAATAATAGAATTATTTTAAATGTTATTACATAATGTTTAAAGATACATGTATTTGTTCTCTAAAATCTTATTTTGTTGTTTCAGATGGTCCTGTCAAACGCCGAAAGACAACAAAAATGGCGTGAGCGCCAAAAACAGAAAAACAAAGAAGAATTTCTAGAAAAAGAGAGAGTGAGAAGAAGGAAAAGATATATTCCTGCATTAGAGCTAAATGAAAAAGATTTAAAGAAGAGAAGAGCAATGATAAATAAACATGTTAAAAATCACTACCGTAGAAAAAAAGAGACATTGCAAACAGCTATACAAATGAATGAGTTGCCTGCAAGTAGTGGAACCAGAGCCAAAAGTAATGCTCAACACGCACCTTTACTTGTAAAACTCCCAATTACAATTCCAAACAGAGCAAAAGGCGTTAGGAAAACTTACCAAAGAGCCCTAAAGAGAGCAAACAGAAACGTCAGCAATCTTCAGTCAAAAAACACATCTCTGAAAAAATCAAATAAAAAGCTTCATAAACGCATTGAAAGGTTAAGAAGGAAATATGAAAAAGAAGAAGAAAGCGTTGAACAACTTACAGATGAACAGAATATGACACCACGAAAAAGAACAGACTATATAATGAAGAAAGATGGTTTGTCTGGGTAGAAACATGTATCTGTCAGAGGCAGTTGCTCTTGGCCAATTCCCTGTTCTATGATATAAAGCAAGTGAAGAAAGACGGAAAATTAAAAAGTCTTTTGGGAAAATGTAAACTGGTGAAGAAATATAGATGTGTGTCAAGTCTCAGTAAAGAACTCAAGATACACCGCCGAACTAGAGCTTTAACAGGAACATCGAATAAACGAAAATCAAAGAATTCAGAAAGAAAAGCTAAGGTGATAGAGTTTCTTGAAAGAGAAGACAATAGTACCACCCTTCCAGGAAAGAAAGATCATCTCAAAGATCAGGAGAGTCGGGAAGTAAAACAAAAAAGAGTTCTTACAGATTACATGCACAATCTTCATGGAAAGCTTATGCTGGAACACCCAGATGTCAAAGTTTGCAGGTCTGCATTCTATACGATGAAACCATCAAATATTGTACATGCAAATTTTTCCTCCAGACGTACATGTCTTTGTTCAAAGCATCAGAATCTTTGCCTAAAACTGAAATGTCTTCGAAATAATGGCATACTGGCTTCGAAAAATCCTGACGTCTTTGTTAAGGAGTACGATAGTAACGAAAAGACTCTAGGAGAAATAAATGAAAAATGCACGGAAGAAGTCAAATATGTCAATTGGAAAAGGGTTCAAGACGGTGAAAAGCTCAGATGGAAAGAAGTTGAAGAGAAAGTTAGTAAAACTGCATTCAATGACCTCTTTAACAAGGAACTGACAGCGTTCAGGGGTCATGTACAGAGAGTGCAAACGCAGTACATCGAGATGAGACGTTTACGAGAGAATCTCAAGGAAGGAAACATTATGATCTGGATGGACTTTGCAGAGAATTATAACTGTTCCGCAGTCGAGGAAATCCAGTCCGCATATTGGAACACAGCCATGGTTTCATTACACACTATGGTTGTGTACTTTCCCGAAGGTCACACTAAAAAGTTACAAAGCATGGTCGCAGTATCAGATCTTGTACAACACAATGCAACAACAGTATTTACAATTCTTAAAAAGACCATTCCTATCGTGAAGGAAGAATATCGTGAATTGACCACTGTGCATTATCTTACCGACTCTCCGACCAGCCAATATCGGAATAGATATGTATTTCAGATTCTTGCCAATCACGAAGCCGATTTTGGTATTAAAGGCAGATGGAACTATCTTGAAGCGGGTCACGGAAAGGGCCCTTGTGATGGCCTCGGGGCCAGCGTGAAGCAAACTGCAGATCAAGCAGTCAAACAAGGAAAGTGTAGTATCCAGGGAGCGTCTGATTTCTATGCATGGGGTATGCATTGTGAAGAAAGTGGAAGCAAAGTTAAATACTAGTACATTTTCTATGACCAGAATGACTATGACAGTGCATCTGCTGAACTTCTGGGAAGACCTCAACCAAACAGTATTCCAGGAACAATGAAACTGCACGCAGTTGTGCCATCATTAGTAGATTCGAAAGTCATGTTAACTCGTGAGGTATCATGTAGCTGTGAAACATGTATAGAAAATGTTGACAATACAGAATGTAATGACTGGAAACAACATCGACTTCTTGCGACAGAAAATCAAAATCAAAATGCCGACAACCAGCCTGTTACAAATGACATTCCAGAAGAACACCATGAAATTCACGAATTGGAGATTGAACTGGAGATCGGTGGTTATGTGGCAGCTATCTATAATGCTAGTTGGTTCATTGGTGTCATTACCGATGTCGATGAAACAGAATGTCAAGTAAACTTCATGAGTCAGGCCGGAAAGTACGGGGATACGCTAAAGTGGCCAATTCCAAGAGATGAAATTTGGATACCAAAATCTCAAGTGATATTGAAACTAGACAAAGAACCTGAACCACACGGAAGATCTAGGAGATGTTTCAAAATATCACTAGAAACAAAGCAAAACATTGAAAATGAATTTCAACGTAGAAAAGAGGATCGTGATTAATGTCCGTAACAATACCATTGTGATCTAAATTGAAAGTTTGAGCAACATTTAAAGAGTTTTAATCTTAATGAATTAAAGCAAGTTCTATTCTGATTAATTATAGAAGCAATCATTTAGGTCCAAATTGAAATTTATGGTTTTAACTGTTAAAATTTTCAAATTTTAAGACATTTGTTATATAATTTTATCTCTTGAAAAGTTTTTTGTTATATTTGTTAATTTTTATTTGTTAGTTATTAAATAAAATGTTCAGATAATGTCATGATACATGTTTTTGAGTGTTTAACGTCGAAAAAAGGTAATTCAAACTCCGTTTTCAATCCAATGGTATACAGTGTAAATTTGGTTAATGTCCAAAACGAAAAGATCATTTTTCAAATTTAGTAGAAATTGTTCATGCTTGTAGAAAACACATATAAATTTATGTTTTTTGTTGTCTATATTGCTTGAAATTAACAGGAAAGGGAAACATACATTTAAGAAATAATGGTATTTAACAGCAGGCAAGTTGAAAGATCACCTTTTAAATCGAAATGTTGAAATGAGAGAATATGAACTTAAATGTTCATGGTACAACTTAAATGAGGTATGAGTAGAGACTCTTTGATTTTACATAGTAATACACCTGTCAATAGTGATTCAAAAAACCAAAATATGAATACCACTTCAAAGGAATTATATAGCTATCCAGATTTTCATTTTAATGTCCATAACGCAGAAAGTCAACCATCCAACATTTGCTTTGGCGACAGACAAAAACAACTCATGCAAGGTGTCAGCTTTTGATGTTTTTTTTACAAATATACATGTATAACTTCGCATTAACGTTAAAGTTTAGCGTCACGAATGATACTGATTTTTTTTTCATCTTTTATTGCTCAATTGTCCATTTATATCTGGAATGACTGAAAAAGGATATTGAACAGTTATAAACATTGCTACCTAAAAGTATTAAAATGAGCTTATTTTATTTCGAATATGGCTAAAACTTCACAGAATTGTTCAGAAATGTGTACTATATGGATACAAACTGCAGTATAAGTGGAATCTGACATAAGCTGATCTAATATGGGTCAATATCCCTAATGGACCTTGAGATGAGGAACACAGATTTATGACTCTCATTAAAAAATTAGTCTGACATACAATTGTGGAAGCTGTGATTTTAAAAATTGACATAAACGAACTAGGACTGGTGTTTTATAGAGGTGATGTGATGTGAAAAAAAGTATAAAAAAATAAACCTGAACAAATAATTACAAAGGACATATTTTTTAATGATTTTTATGGTCAGAAATTTGGGATTATTTCCTGAGGAGAGTGACATTTTTCACCATCTTTCGGGGTTGGGCACTTGACGGGAAAACGAATCACACTTGCCACCCCGAAAATCGCACCACACATGTGCAAGTGTCTCAGCTTCAAAATGAGCCATCATACATATCCAAGTTTACGATATGGCCTGAGCAACAGAAGAAAACGTTAACATTACCGCCTATGGAGAATCTATTACGCATATTGCCCCAATTTTTGTTATTGTTAATAATGTTTGCTTGTAATTAATGCTTATGCTCAGGCCTAACTTTAAATATAACACAATAATAGTTTATAATTATTAAATCTTTATCTTTAAAGAGTCATCATCAGGAACTTCAGAAACTCCTTGACCACTTCAACAGTTGATCACAAATGCAAAGAAAAGAGATCATGAAATCATAGAACAACAACAACAAGATGATGACAAACAAGAGATATATTTAACAGATGAAGATGAACCTATACCTCCAGTTAGTAATAACTTTATCAGTTAGAATGGAAAATGAAATGTCACTGTATGAAGCAATCCTTTTGTAAAATGTGTCTAATGAAATTTCTATGAAATAATGTTTTATCATTTGCTTATATTTAAGGTATTATAGCTATCTTCAATATTGACTTGGTGAATTAAAAAAAAATGTTCCAATGATCAGAATATAATCTAAAACAAATCAATGTTTACCTCAAAAACATCATTTATTCTTAATGTTGAACTGCGAATGCTTACTACATTAAGTTTGAATTTAAGTGGTGTCACTTTAACCCCTCTAGGGTTATGCCCTTTAAAAATGGAAAATTAGTAGATTTCTGTTCAAAAGGAAATAACTCATTTTTAAAAATATTTTTAAAAGATATTTTTATTAATGATAAATGACATTTTGGATTTGTTCCCTTTTCTCGGGGTAACAATCTGCTCTATCACACTCTCAGCTATGTGTTATTATTTAATGTCATTTAATATTCATTTTATTTTGCAGTCTTGCAATTAAAGATCTGGCAACTTCCCAGTTGTTTGAGGGAAGTGAAAAGGCAAAAATTTTCGCTCACAACATTCAAAAACTGGATGAGCAGGAATATAAATATGTAAGAAAGCTCTTGGGTTTGAGCTTAAATCAGGATGGCCCTGGGATTAACGTCTTGGAATCATATCTATTGAAACTTATGGTTGGACAAGAGCCAGATTTTAATGAGTTTAATTTACGCTCATTACCAGACCATGAATACTGGAAGTAAAATAAAGCATCTCAGACAGTTGAATAGTAGTGAAAACTGAATTTTGAGAAGGTCTCCTTATTCTGTATAGTAGTGGTATAATTTACATCGATGTAACATCAACTCGCCTAATTATTTGTCCGAAGCACAGGTACTTTTATTGTATTCATTAGCATAATAGTCGTGCAAGATGTCAACATCCAGATCACCCCTCTTCCAGCAAAGCCAATGCTGACCGAGGATCATTACCTTTTATGTGCAAGCGTTAATGGTTGCAAACACGATAAGTTGTCTGACAAGTACAAATTATATCATGAGATATCGTTATGAAATAAGGGTCCAAAATATGCTGCGATAAATTATTGTATGCAGGCTGGTCTTTCTCATGTTTCTATGGGATCAGCCGGGTTACGAAAAATCTCATTAAGTGGCAATATTATGGTCCCATCAACAAAGGGAATGCAAAAATCAGCTATTAAAGGTGCGGAAATATTGCTGAGTCAAACAAAGATGAAATGCGTTAAATCCGACAAGAAATAAAAGTTGTATATAAAATGCGCGGTCATCCAGAAAATGAAAATGAATTTGAGGGTGATGCATGTTACAATAATCCAATCTACAGTGGAGTTAACAAGACTCCTTCTCAACCTGCAACCAAAAGTTGTTATGTTAGTGGCCAACTTGAAAACTAAAACAAGCTATGCAGTCACGGGAAAGATCACAGTAATGAAAATATCAGTAGAAAAAAATGTCAATGAGACAAATTCAGAAATGGTTCAAAACATAGGAAATGCGGGAAACAGTGCAAAAGAAGGCCTAAGACAGTGTACTCTGAAGGGTTAGAGATCAGACACTTAACAACTAACTCAGATACAAGTGCATATAATACAGTGGACGACCTAGCAAAAACAAAAAAGATTTATCCGCAACATTTAACAGATACGAGACATTTCTCTGAAAACCAGGGATGGCACATTAACAAAATGACAATATATTGAAATTAATGCCTGCCCTGTTAAAAGGAGAGAGAGATAAACTGCACAGTAGATTTGCCACAGATTTAAGTCAAAGCTGTCATGCAGAGTATGAATCTGCACTTTCAAAATGCAATGGAGATGTATTTCAATTAAAAATGTAGTGGACGCAATAGGTTTGTGCAACCAGGGAAACCACTTTTTATGTAAAGCAAATTCATTTTTTATGCAAAGCAAAATCATTTGTTTGCAAGTGACAGCTTGAGAGAAGTAGATATCGTTCAAGCTACTTTAAACGTAAATTGTCTATAAAAGAAAGAAAAAAACCGAGGTAAGAAATTGTGTTACTTTCTGACTTGGTCCCAAAGCACTTGATAAACAAAACTTAAAAAAAATAAAACCATAAGAAGATCCTTACCTAACAGAGTAAAAACTTTCATGGAAAGGCAAACAGTGCTGTACATGTAGCAAACTATGTCCCTGGTGAATCGAGCATGGCTATGTGAGTCTTAGTTGACTCTCCAATTTCAGTTGGTAGTAAGGTGCACAAGTCCCTGTAACAAGAAATTTATGAAAAAATAAAGAATGTCAGAAATTATTCAAACGCAAAGCAAAAGAAAACAAACAACTAATGCAAACTTTCAGTTATATTCAAAACGCCAAGAAGAAGTCAAATATAGGAAAGGTATGTTTCTTCGAGAAAACAAAAAAGTCTGTGGTAAAGAAGTAAAGGCCACCAAAGTTGATCACGGCACTTATACCTTGTTGCATGGTCCAAAAGTGCAATATCCTGCAGAAAACCAGCCATTTCGATTCATATTTGTGATGTGCGGCTCATGTACCATATGATTTTCGTGCATGCATTTCTTATTATGACATAAGTGGCTGACCTCAAGCTGCCAGCTGAATTCATTTAATTTAGGCATTTTATCATGTACAATTTCATTATTTCAATATATAATATATCATGTGTCAGGCCAAGTTACCCTTTTACGGCAATAACAAGTGTCGGTGCAATTGTGTCCGCAAGGTAAAATTGTATAAGTAATTGTATTAGATGTAATCTTAAATCGGTCACATTCTTTATTGATAATTCTACTATATTTTACAATGAATTCAGCCAATTTTTATAGATAATAGTAGATGTAACCGTGAACAAACACAGCTTAATTGAGAATGTTACAACATTTTATAGTAAATTTGACCTCTTTTCTGATAATTGTATTAGTTATTACCTTAAATCGGTCATTTTTTCTAGATGACTTTATTAGATGTAACCTTAAATCGTTCATTTTCTCCATGGATAATTTACAACAATTTTTTAAGATAATGTATAATATGCTAACTTAAATCGACCATCTTTTATAGATAATTGTATCAGATGAAATATTCATTCGGTCACTTTCTTCATTGTTAATTATATTTTACTTTACAATATTAAATCTTTATTTAAGATAATGTATTAGTTGTTTACTTAAATGGACCATTTTGTTTTTATAGATAATTGAATCAGATATAATATTCAATCGGCCACTTCCTTTATTGATAATTATATCACACTTTACAAGATTCAACTACCTTTTATAGATAATTCTATTAAATGTAATCTTAAGTCGGTCATTTCCTCTATTGATTGTATTACTATATTTAAAAATGAATTCAACAAATATGTAATGAGTTGTATTAGATGTAAAATTGAACCAACCACAGCTTTATATAGAATTTTAAAACACTTTTCAGTAAATTTTAATAAGTGATACTTATATAAGTTGAAACCTTCAATCGAACATATTTTATAGATAATTGTATGAGATGTAACAGCAAACCTGCCATTGGTTGATTGATAATTTTACTACATTTTACAGTAAATTTGACCACTGTTTTGATTGTAATAGATGTAACCCTAAATCAGTCGTTTTTTTCTTGACAACTTTATTAAATCGGCTACTTTCTTTATTGATAATTGTATTACATTTTACAAGATCCAACCACTTTTTAAGATAATGTATTAGATGTTAACTTAAATCGACCATTTTTATAGATAATTGTATCAGATGAAATATTCAATCAGCAATTTCCTTAT